TTTACTGGGGATTTTTATGCAGAGATCTTGAACTATACTTTTATTAACACCACTTTACCCTTAAGCAAACCTCATTAGAAAAACACGTATTACTCAATTCTCATCAAGGTTTTGAATCTGTTTCCCTTAAGGCTAAAGATTCCCTTTATGCAGCCAAATAAAACTTATGGAGAACACGGAACCTCCCGTTTCATCAACCACTACACGCACATGGCACGACTTTCTAGAACGCATGAGACAACCTTCCGCAACAGAATTCGTGAAAACCATAAAAAACTTCATAACCACATTCTCAAAAACAATTCCAAATCCCGAAAAAGACAGTGAATCCATTCAAGAATTTTTCACCACCATGGACGCCGCTTTCCGGGCCCACCCTCTATGGGCGGGTCGCACAGAAGACGAATTAGAAAACACAAGTGAAGGCCTCGAAAAATACATAATGACAAAACTATTCCCTCGCGTATTCGCTTCACACCCAGAAGATATCAAAATAGACAAGGATCTTTACAACAAATCGCTTTTAATCCAACAATTCATCGAACCCCATCACTTAGACATTCAACAAAAGTATCAAAACGAAACTTCATGGTTAATCGCAAAGAAAGAGCTTCAAAAAATTAATAGTTACAAAGCACCACGTGATAAGCTTTCGTGTATTCTTAGTTGTTGTAAGGTTATTAGTACATCGCTATTTAACACGTCCGAAAATCCACCTGGCGCTGATGATTTTCTTCCTGTTTTAATTTACGTTACAATTAAAGCAAATGTGGCGCAATTGCACTCAAATTTGGTTTATATTCAACGGTTTAGGAATCGGTTAAGGTTAGGTGGAGAAACGGAGTATCTTTTCACGAATATGTTATCTGTAGAATCATTTATTTTGAATATAGATGCTAAGGCGTTGTCTATGGATGAAATTGAGTTTGAGAATAATATGGAATCTGCGAGAGTAATTGTTTCGGGGGAGTATAATGGTGAGAATGTGGAAACTAGAAGGGTTGAAAGTGAAAATGATATGGAGGCGAAGTTGAAAGAGGTGCCTTCGGTTTCGGATTTGGAAAATAAAGGTGGGACGATGATTGTTATGGAGGAAAAAGTGAGTGAAAAGTTTTGGAATTTTCCGTTTTTGTATTCGAAGGTTGATGATTTGAGTGTTGGTGATGTGGATGAGTTGTTGAATGGTTATAAACAGCTTGTGTTTAAGTATGTTTGTCTTGCTAAAGGATTGGGTGTTCCTGTTCTGCCGCCTCCGGAGACCAGAGATGGTGGTGGGGAGGCGGTGGGTGGTGTTCCGGTGGCGGCAACGGAAAGTGAACAGGTGGAGGATGGGACAGTAGAAGGAGGTGGGGATGATGGTGTTGGGGATTCTACAACTGAAACTCTAGTGGCTGGAGAAGTTGTTTCTCAGTTAGATGTAAATGTTGAAAAATAAATAATGTATCTTTTTGTTTTTGTGGATTAGATTTAGCTCTTTTGTTTATTTGTTTATTTGATCGATGAATCTTTTGGTTATTAAAATGAGAAACTTGTGAAAAATAGTAATGTTCTTTACTTTTATATCAATATGGACGATATATTTTATTTTTTACCCATAATATCAATGTACACACATTTTTTTTGCCCATAATAGCCATATAGAGTCCTAATACTAACGTAGTTACATTTCTTTATCAATAATAACATTATGTAAGTATGTAACAAATAAAGCGCATTGGTCATATTGGTAGCAAAATTAAGGTATGTTGCTATTATTGGTTAGAATAAAGGATCATTGATATTATCCGTTAAAAGTGTAAGTATGCTAACATGGGTAAAAAACAAAATATATTTTCCATATTGGTACAAGAGTAAATACGTTGCAATTTGTCTGATAAAATAAATCAAACATTAAAGGTAACAAGAGATATGATTCAACTAACACAAATAAACTTTTATTCCGTCAAACTATGCAAGATGATGAAATTGTTGGCACGTAATCAAAGATGAAAATGTCAAATTTAAAAATACAACAAAATTCATGATGCATAACTGAATTTGAATTGTTGGCACGTAATCAAAGCATGTGCCACCATCTTTTCATTTTTATATGAATTGAAAACATGTACAAAGTTCCAGGAAAATGTGTATAAAGTTGTTAGTCTAACATGTTGATAATTTTTTATTTTGTTATTTTGTAGGAATAACAATTAATCACCTTTTTGACTAATTGCAACAAACAAAATATTTACTTAAATCTTTTATATATATATATATATATATATATATATATATATATATATATATATATATATATATATATATATATATATATATATATATATATATATCATAATTCTAATAAATAAGTAGAACTCGGCCGCGTGGCATTCTCCCAGCCCTCCAAAATAGAGTTTTCCTGCTCATTTTTTCTTCTATATTTACGTAAATGCCATTGAATCCGAAAATTGAATAAAAGTTCAAACTGATGCAATATATCAGGAAATTTTAGCTGTCAACTGCATTCAAAATATTCATGCATTAATTTTAAATGAATAAAGATTATGGAAATAATTTGAAAAAATATGTTAATGAATAATCAGATTCGAAAATCACGATTAAATTTGAAAGTTTGTTTATTTTGATTGCAAATTCAATATATTGCAATCATTAAATCCCTAAAAATCTGCAGTATTTTTCAGCAAACGTAAATATCATTTATACGGTTATTTTGTTTTTACCATTCTGCTCCATAACAATTCTGCTCCATAGAAACCACAGCAAACGTATTCTTCTTCAATCTTTGTTATTCTGCAACGCTTCAAGAATTAAATATCAGGTTAGTGTATTCAAAAATCAGAATTACCAATATTTCTATTTCCTCCATGTTCTTATTTATCTGTATCTATCACGTTCTCATTGTATGATTTCTATTCTTCTTCTTTTTTGTAATTTTTCTTAATCGTCTACTTCTTCTACCTTTTCAGTTTAAAAGACGAAAAACTAATGAACATTACAAGTTCATTTTCTTTAAAAAAAATTAAAAATAGTCTTTTTCATATGTGCACAGTAACTTTTTTTATGGTATGAAATTTTAAAATTTGTTTGTTTTTATCTAAATACAATCTCAAAAAAATTTAGAATTTTAAAATTTATGAGTACATTAAGTCAGTTGTTATTGTCATGTGTTGATTTTTAATTTTTCTGTTTTACTCATTGTTATGTTATCTGTTAGTGTTAGTATGTTGCAGGGGCATTTTCGGTATAATTGTCGTTTTCATGTTTATTATATATTTGTGTTCCATCTTATTATATAAACTTTTATTCAATCTAAAACATTATTTCATATGAATTATTTGTTTTTGTTTGTATTCCATTTTATTATAAAATGAATTATTCAATTTAAAAATTTATGAGTACATTAAGTCAGTTGTTATTGTCATGTGTTGATTTATAATTTTTCTGTTTTACTTATTGGTTAGGATGTTCTGTACATTTTAAAAGGTTGCTAATTTTCCTTACAATTCTATAATGATTAAATTTATTGCAGAAAATGGAAATAGGAAATAAGGTTTACCTAAATAACATTGACCAGATAGATGAAAAATCGCATATCAAGGTTCGGGTGCTTAAAATTTGGAACTTTGTCAGAAATAATAAAGTTTGTTCCATTGAAATGATCATCATGGATGAGGAGGTTTGTTGTATTTCATATATTTTTTATTCATCATTCAATATTAGACATGTTTCGTGAACATAATAATTTTTAATTTTTTTTTAAACAGGGTACACAATACCAAGATCGTGTCTTCAATCAGAATTTCTCTAGATTTCGTCATCTTTTAAAGGAAGATGAAAGTTATATAGTTATAAAACCCAATATGGCTGCTGTTACTAATGGATTTAGTTATACAGGTCATAAACAGACCTTAACTTTGGATTGGAAAAGCATCCTAAAAAAATGTGATGATTTCTCGGGTCCGGTCAATGGATTTATGTTTGTTGACTTTAATTCTATCATAGAACAAACATGCCCAAAAGACACATTCTTTGGTTAGTCATAAAATATTAATAAAATCATTTTTTATCATTTGTTTTTTTGGTTATACATTTTATTATTTAAATATTACGAATTTAATCCTAAACTTTTATTTTTTTGTGGTATCTGTTGTGTAGATGTTATTGGACATATCGTGTCATTTAGGCCTCTTGAAACTTCAAATCCAGTACTATCCAAGCATTATATAAAAGTCACTCTTAGCAACCTAGAGTGAGATTATATTGTATTATTTATTTATTATTTATTATCTTTAATTAATCACAAATTAATATTAATATACTATTTTATGGTTTATTTAGTTCTGTACATCTGAAGGTTACTATTTTTGGAAGTCAAGCATATCAAATTTCAGAATACCTAAAAAATAACCCGACTGTTAATTTTGTTGTTATCGTGATGCAGTTTTTGAAGCTAAACATTTGGAATGGTTTGTATTCAGTCTTTATATATAGATGTTTATAATTACTGTTTTCATATGCGAACCCAACTGATTGGCTTTTCAAAATCAAATTCGCAACTCCAAATCGTTCGATTATTCGCCCCAATTCCAAAATCAAATAACAGATCCTTCGTATGATTCATTTAATAACCAAGGCTTCGTTCCAGAAAACATCGAATTTAACAGTTATTCGTTCCCACAATCTTTAACCTCCGTTTAAAATCGATCCCTGTATACAAACCCAATAACCAATCGAACACATACCATTCGAAAACAATAATCATTACACCCTTCAACAGATTTGACATCGCATTTCAAAACAATCGATCTTACTTCATCTGCTTGATATATCGCAATTAACAATTAAGACAAATCAATCAATCAATCAATTTGTATAATAAAAATATTGCTATATATGTAAAGACCATATTGCCCCTAACTTGATAAGTATTTGATATATCGCAGTTAACAATTAAGACAGATAAATAAATCAATCAACTTGTATAATAAAAATTCGAAATTCTTAGCTTTCTTCCCTAATTCGAATTCTACTGTAAAATTCACATTCTTCATTCACCTTCTTTTTTCGCATGTTCCAGTCATTTTTTTTTTTAGTTCATTCACATTTGAGTTGTTTGTCTCACCAAATACGAAATGAATATTAACCATAATCACCTTCGCATCTTTAACCCCAATCCATACAACCTCATATGCGAAACCCAATTTTGATTTGTATTACCAAATGCGAACATTTTTGCTTTTACACGTGAACTGCATTTGACTCCAATATTGAACAAATCACATTTCACAGTCCTTCTTGACTTCGCATTTTTCTTCACGAATCTGTTCAAAAGGTTTTTCATTTTATTTTATAAACTTTTAATTATATTTGCTTGTAAATTTTTTTTAAATTTTTTCTTAATATTTTAAATTTTTGGCCGATATTGCATATGTGGTTATTATTGTTCAAATGTTAAAGCTATCTTGAGCTTGATACTTTGATACTTTTACAGGTGATAAGTATTTCATATATCGCAATTAACAATTAAGACAAATCAATCAATCAATCAATTTGTATAATAAAAATACGAAATTCTTAGCTTTCTTCCCCAATTCGCATTCTACTGTAAAATTCGCATTCTTCATTCACCCTCTTTCTTCGCATGTTCCAGTCATTTTTTTTTAGTTCATTCGCATTTGAGTTGTTTGTCTCACCAAATGCGAAATTAATATTAACCATAATCACCTTCGCATCTTTAACCCCAATCCATACAACCTCATATGCAAAACCTAATTTTGATTTGTATTACCAAATGCGAACATTTTTGCTTTTACACGTGAACTGCATTTGACTCCAATATTGAATAAATCACATTTCACAGTCCTTCTTGACTTCGCATTTTTCTTCACGAATCGTCCCTCAATCAATAACCCAATTAACCCAATTGCGAATCCAAAATCAAAACTTATCTGTTTTCATATGCGAACCCAACTGATTGGCTTTTCAAAATCAAATTCGCAACTCCAAATCGTTCGATTATTCGCCCCAATTCCAAAATCAAATAACAGATCCTTCGTATGATTCATTTAATAACCAAGGCTTCATTCCAGAAAACATCGAATTTAACAGTTATTCGTTCCCACAATCTTTAACCTCCGTTTAAAATCGATCCCTGTAAACAAACCCAATAACCAATCGAACACATACCATTCGAAAACAATAATCATTACACCCTTCAACAGATTTGACATCGCATTTCAAAACAATCGATCTTACTTCATCTGCTTGATATATCGCAATTAACAATTAAGACAAATCAACCAATCAATCAATTTGTATAATAAAAATATTGCTATATATGTAAAGACCATATTGCCCCTAACTTGATAAGTATTTGATATATCGCAGTTAACAATTAAGACAGATAAATAAATCAATCAATTTGTATAATAAAAATTCGAAATTCTTAGCTTTCTTCCCCAATTCGCATTCTACTGTAAAATTCACATTCTTCATTCACCCTCTTTTTTCGCATGTTCCAGTCATTTTTTTTTAGTTCATTCGCATTTGAGTTGTTTGTCTCACCAAATACGAAATAAATATTAACCATAATCACCTTCGCATCTTTAACCCCAATCCATACAACCTTATATGCGAAACCCAATTTTGATTTGTATTACCAAATGCGAACATTTTTGCTTTTACACGTGAACTGCATTTGACTCCAATATTGAACAAATCACATTTCACAGTCCTTATTGACTACGCATTTTTCTTCACGAATCTGTTCAAAAGGTTTTTCATTTTATTTTATAAACTTTTAATTATATTTGCTTGTAAAAATTTTTTAAATTTTTTCTTAATATTTTAAATTTTTGGCCGATATTGCATATGTGGTTATTATTGTTCAAATGTTAAAGCTATCTTGAGCTTGATACTTTGATACTTTTACAGGTGATAAGTATTTCATATATCGCAATTAACAATTAAGACAAATCAATCAATCAATCAATTTGTATAATAAAAATGCAAAATTCTTAGCTTTCTTCCCCAATTCGCATTCTACTGTAAAATTCGCATTCTTCATTCACCCTCTTTCTTCGCATGTTCCAGTCATTTTTTTTTTAGTTTATTCGCACTTGAGTTGTTTGTCTCACCAAATGCGAAATTAATATTAACCATAATCACCTTCGCATCTTTAACCCCAATCCATACAACCTCATATGCAAAACCTAATTTTGATTTGTATTACCAAATGCGAACATTTTTGCTTTTACACGTGAACTGCATTTGACTCCAATATTGAACAAATCACATTTCACAGTCCTTCTTGACTTCGCATTTTTCTTCACGAATCGTCCCTCAATCAATAACCCAATTAACCCAATTGCGAATCCAAAATCAAAACTTATCTGTTTTCATATGCGAACCCAACTGATTGGCTTTTCAAAATCAAATTCGCAACTCCAAATCGTTCGATTATTCGCCCCAATTCCAAAATCAAATAACAGATTCTTCGTATGATTCATTTAATAACCAAGGCTTCGTTCCAGAAAACATCGAATTTAACAGTTATTCATTCCCACAATCTTTAACCTTCGTTTAAAATCGATCCCTGTAAACAAACCCAATAACCAATCGAACACATACCATTCGAAAACAATAATCATTACACCCTTCAACAGATTTGACATCGCATTTCAAAACAATCGATCTTACTTCATCTGCTTGATATATCGCAATTAACAATTAAGACAAATCAATCAATCAATTTGTATAATAAAAATATTGCTATATATGTAAAGACCATATTGCCCCTAACTTGATAAGTATTTGATATATCGCAGTTAACAATTAAGACAGATAAATAAATCAATCAATTTGTATAATAAAAATTCGAAATTCTTAGCTTTCTTCCCCAATTCGCATTCTACTGTAAAATTCACATTCTTCATTCACCCTCTTTCTTCGTATGTTCCAGTCATTTTTTTTTTTAGTTCATTCGCATTTGAGTTGTTTGTCTCACCAAATACGAAATGAATATTAACCATAATCACCTTCGCATCTTTAACCCCAATCCATACAACCTCATATGCGAAACCCAATTTTGATTTGTATTACCAAATGCGAACATTTTTGCTTTTACACGTGAACTGCATTTGACTCCAATATTGAACAAATCACATTTCACAGTCCTTCTTGACTTCGCATTTTTCTTCACGAATCTGTTCAAAAGGTTTTTCATTTTATTTTATAAACTTTTAATTATATTTGCTTGTAAAATTTTTTTAAATTTTTTCTTAATATTTTAAATTTTTGGCCGATATTGCATATGTGGTTATTATTGTTCAAATGTTAAAGCTATCTTGAGCTTGATACTTTGATACTTTTACAGGTGATAAGTATTTCATATATCGCAATTAACAATTAAGACAAATCAATCAATCAATCAATTTGTATAATAAAAATGCGAAATTCTTAGCTTTCTTCCCCAATTCGCATTCTACTGTAAAATTCGCATTCTTCATTCACCCTCTTTCTTCGCATGTTCCAGTCATTTTTTTTAGTTCATTCGCATTTGAGTTGTTTGTCTCACCAAATGCGAAATTAATATTAACCATAATCACCTTCGCATCTTTAACCCCAATCCATACAACCTCATATGCGAAACCTAATTTTGATTTGTATTACCAAATGCGAACATTTTTGCTTTTACACGTGAACTGCATTTCACTCCAATATTGAACAAATCACATTTCACAGTCCTTCTTGACTTCGCATTTTTCTTCACGAATCGTCCCTCAAATAATAACCCAATTAACCCAATTGCGAATCCAAAATCAAAACTTATCTGTTTTCATATGCAAACCCAACTGATTGGCTTTTCAAAATCAAATTCGCAACTCCAAATCGTTCGATTATTCGCCCCAATTCCAAAATCAAATAACAGATCGTTCGTATGATTCATTTAATAACCAAGGCTTCGTTCCAGAAAACATCGAATTTAACAGTTATTCGTTCCCACAATCTTTAACCTCCGTTTAAAATCGATCCCTATATACAAACCCAATAACCAATCGAACACATACCATTCGAAAACAATAATCATTACACCCTTCAACAGATTTGATATCGCATTTCAAAACAATCGATCTTACTTCATCTGTTGATCAGAATTTATGATTCATGGTCCATATGGAGCTGAAAATATGAATTGTCCATGCATGGTGGACAAAAAGTGCTCTAAAAACTTTCCAAAACAATTCATTAATCATTCATCTGTTGATCAGAATGGTTTTCCGTTATATAGGCGAAGAAACGATGGTCATTTTGTAGAAAAATCAGGTGTAAGGTTGGATAATAGAAATGTTGTTCCATACAATAAATATCTATTGAAAAGATATCAGGCACATATTAATATTGAATGGTGCAATCAGGGATCTTCTATAAAGTATTTGTTTAAATACATAAATAAGGGTCCTGATAGAGCTACAGTTGCTGTTGTACCAACCAACAATGAATGTGAAAATAATGATGCGGTCGATGAAATAGCTGAATATTACGATTGTAGATATTTATCAGCATGTGAAGCATCATGGCGAATTTTTAGATATGATGTTCATTGCAGATATCCTTCTGTTGTTAGACTGCCTTTTCATCTTCCTAATCAACAACAGATTGTATATGACGAAGATGATGATATTGATGATGTTCTTGACAATTCTGTTGCCGCTTCAAAGTTCACAGCTTGGATGGAGTGTAATGCAATCGACAGTGAAGCACGAAAACTCACATATGTTGAATTCCCTACAAAGTTTGTTTGGATATTAAATGGTCGGTTTTGGAAGCGAAGGAAAGTAGGAAAAGCTATCGGTAGAATTCATTCAGTTTCACCTAAACTAGGTGAAGCATATTTCTTAATGATTCTTTTAAATAAAGTAAAATGACCAACATCATTTGATGAAATTCGCACGGTAAATGGAGAAACACATTCTTCTTTTAGAGATGCCTGTTATGCACTCGGGCTATTAGATGATGACAAGGAATACATTGATGCAATTAAAGAAGCAAGTCATTCTGGATCTGGTTTTACCTACGCTTTTTATTTGCTACATTGTTGATGTGTAATAGTATGTCTAAACCAGAGATCGTTTGGGAAAATACATGGGAATATTTGGCAGATGGAATTCTATATAGCCAACGACGAAGATTTAAGTCAGCAGGTATTACATTTTTTCTTATTTTTTAAAATTAATTTATTTTTATTTTTCAACACCCATTAAATAATTAGTAATGAAATTATTAAATATCAACCACGTATTTTATTAATTATTTAATATTTTCGTGCAGAATTGTCTCTCGGAGTAGATGAACTTAAGAACTTAACTTTGTTCGAAATATAACAAATTTTACTTCGAAACAACTCTACTCTCAAAAACTTCAAAAACATGCCATACCCAGATGTTGAATCCGTTTCTTCTTCAAACAATCGACTTATCACCGAGAAACTAGATTACGACATTCCCGTGATAAAGAATGACTATGATCGTATGTTTCTTGCATTAACAAATGAGCAACGGAACATTTTCCTAAACATCAAGAGTGCTATTCAACAAAATAAAGGAGGTGTCTTCTTTGTTTACGGGTATGGTGGAACGGGTAAAACTTTTTTATGGAAAACAATATCTGCAGCAATTAGATCTGAAGGAAATATTGTATTAAATGTTGCTTCAAGTGGTATTGCTTCCTTATTATTGCCCGGTGGTAGAACAGCACACTCTCGATTTATAATTCCATTTGAGCTTACAGAGGATTCTTTTTGTAACATAATCCAGACGGTGAGTTGGCAAGCTTAATAAGGAAAACCTCTTTGATAATTTGGGAAGAAGCACCTATGGTCCATAAGCATGCATTTGAAGCTTTAGATCGAACTTTGAAGGATTTATTAAGGTGCGTAAATTCAACCATCTCAAATATTCCATTTGGAGGGAAAGTTATTGTTTTTGGAGGAGATTTTAGACAAATTCTACCTGTTGTGCCGGGTGGCAGTAGACAGAACATTGTAAATGCTTCTTTGAGTTCTTCATATTTATGTTAATTTCATTACACACATTGGTATTGTATCATCTGCATATGTCCAATTAGAATGATGAATAAAAAAAATAGTTTTCAAAAATCTTCATTCCTAATTAAATACTTCCCATTTAGTTAGTAATTAAATAATTACCAATAAAAAAAATTATTTAAATATTCAATATTACAATTTATAAGTTATCAGAATTATTGATATAATATTTTATTAAATAATTAATTTTTAAATTCAATTCAAAAACAGCACCCGTGGGTTCCACGGGTTTTAACCTAGTATATATATATATACACACAAACTTTCTTATATTTAAAGTCATCCAAATAAATATGGTTTAAGATCGTTTCTATTCTTAGTCATATTCATTCCAAACTCTAAACATTTAAAAAAAAAATGAAAAAACATCATAAATAGCCCTTGTAGTTTCCCCAGATTTGAAGTTTAGTCCTTAAGGTTTAAAATTTTTATAGATGATCTTGTGCTTTCAAAACTTTTGAGAGTTGATCTTTATTGCTAACTCCGTCATTTTTTGTGTGTTAACTGAATGACATTTTTGATATTTCATTACCATTTATGAAGTTTTTCATTATTTAAAAAAATAAAAAAGAAAAAATAATTATTTAATATAAAAAAGGTCTCTCTCTCTCTCTCTCTTGTTTTTCGTCAATTGGATTCTATAGTTCGTAAAACTCTCATTTTTGCCAACCATAGAAAAAGTGAAGCGATTGTTGGTTCTTCCAATCTTCCTAGCAGAATCGAATATTCGTATTTCGAATAATTCAAGGTAAGAGCAATGTGTTTGGGAGTATAATCATGGAGAATTGCAAATTTCGCTACTAAATTTTGCCGTTTATGCCTGTATTACATTCAAGAAAAAGGTTAATGTGGATGAGCAAACAATTGCTTGTTCAATTGTGACCATAATCATGAAGTGTAATTTGCTTCTACTATTCTTCTTGTTCTTTCGAAGTATATTTGAACAGCAACACCAGTCTCTCCCGTTGAATTCAACTTTCAACCGCAGAACAAACTGCTCTGCTCCAACTCTCAGACCATCATTAGGTTTAAGAGCCATATAATGGCCTATAAAATCCGACCCATGCTTAGCTTGGATTGGTCTTCTATGTCAAGGTGGTCATGTTGTTGGGATCAATATTTGAGGGTTTAAGAGAACCCCACTTTGGAGTTGAAACCCTAAATTTTCAATTGATGCTCTTGCCAATTTCACCGAATTGATTTCATTTTTTGCATGAATCATAATATCAATGCTCTTATTGGTAGCAAAATGTAAGTACATCGTTATTATTGATAAAAAAAAAATCATGTTGCTATTCCAAGCAATTTGTCACTTAAAATATATCATACATCAAATATAACAAATCTTGCACGAAAAAAATTCCAAGTAACCAAAGATATGAGACAACCAACACAAATAAATTTTCATTCCATAAAACTATGCAAAAGGATGGACTTATTTGCTCTTAACAATCAAAGATTAAAAAAAAAAAGATGAAATATAAAACTATAAGATAGTTGATGTAAAAAGAAACAAAATTATAATGCAATTCTATTGCTTACCATAAATTTTTTCAGCCAATGGAGTTCTTGAGAGTTGACCTTTGACCTCTGGACCCACATCCCTATCTAGATCAATGACCTCTAAGCATTTGGTTAAACCATTGACTTGATCTTCAAAACTAAACACATTCTCTTTCTGATCACTCTCATCTTGCTTTTCTTTCATGTCTATCATAGCTTCATCTTTCTGCTTGTTTGATATTTCCTTTTGTATATTCACATCCACCTTCAACTTGCTAAAACTCACACCACTTTTTCTTCCATCATTGAAAGCTTTTCTAACTTTTGAACAATTCTCAGGGGTAACAGAAGGAGAAAGATTAGATAACTGGAATTTGTTTTTGTTTAGCCTGTTTCTGTTATGTAATTGTAAAGGACTCTCTTTCTCCTGCATACTTCCTTTAAAGGGTTGTCCCTGAAATAGGTAAAAAGACGTTAATACCCTCCATGAAAAATATCCCTCAAAAGCTAACAAAGAAACAAGAAGCAAGAATGAAAAGAATAATGATATACCTCATCAAAGAATCCAATCTTTGGTGATGGCATTCGAAGACCTGAAGATTTGATCTTTCTTTTAGGCCCACTAGAAAGAAGGAGACTTTCCATTGATGATGTTGTTGCGTATTCAGGTGTTTTAGAAGAAGATGAAGATAACCATCCTTCAATGGAGCTACAAGGGGACGTGGATGAAGTTGGTTTTGTGTTTTTGTGATTGATTTCCTTTCTACTGGATTTAGAAGATGAAGAAGCACTAGAAGATGATTCATATGAGGAATCAGCTTTTAAATCCTTTTGAGAAGTAAAAGGAGTTGATTTAGGAAGACCAGATAAGTCTCCCCATCGAGACCTCTTGGAAACATTTAAATCTGTCCCTTCATAAAATAAAACTAATTGGAAAAAAAAAAAAAAACAAATACTTAGACATTAAAAAAAAAAACATACCTAATCCTGCTTTTCTGGATTTATGCTTTGTTTTCATGCTATATGATTCTGATTCTTCAACAGATGCTTTGTTAGTATGTTTAGATGAGACCAGTTTTGAAGCTCCAGATACTGGTTTGACCTAAAATTTGAAGATCGATATTTTTTTTAAAAAATTATTTGGGTTTGAAAAATGGAAAAATGAGAACTGGTGAATATACACACACCTTGTTTTGAGAGCAGATATTTGATTTCTTGGAGGCTGAAAAGGAGACATATTTAAAACCTCGGTTTTTATAAAGAATGTGGAGTAGATGATGATTAAATAGAAGTGGTGATTGATTAATACCAGATGATGTTTGATTCTTAAGAGTAAGTTTATTACGAGGAGTTTGGTGATTGGATTCAGGTTTTTTGAAGCCTTTATTTATCATAAACAGCTCTTCGAGGTTCAACACACCTGCATATATCAAGAATCATGCACTAGTGAAGACAATAATTAAAAGTAATAACATTTTCTCCATTTCTTGGAGAACAGATGTGAAAACAGAAATCCCTATTGGAAAAAGACTCGAACAGGCATCAAGAATTACCTGCACTAGTGAAGAAGGCATTGTCCCAAGCTAAGCTTTTACGCAAGAAACTTGGTCTTCTTGGCTCCATGGATTCAAACTGTGCTTCATCAATCCGCTCTACTACTTGCGAATTAATACTTTCAAACACCTTGATACGATCACACTCATTCAGATTGTCGTATGTTACTGCAAAACAAGTTTGTTCATAAAACTTTAAGCAAATCACTAGAAAGTAAACGCGATCATTCAAAAAGGTGAATCAACTCTTTTTCTATACTGTCAAACTGTCAATGAATCTCCTTTTTTTTTTTTTTTGGTTGTTGTTCAACTCGATAACATGAGATAATATTGAAATCGAATTGAATTTCATGAGAAAAAAAGGAAACTGACGGAGAAGAAAATTAACAAAATGTGTGAAAAACAAAGAGCGTACACAGACATGTGAATGATGATCAAAGGGAACATAATTTGCACCTGAAAGTCGGAGATCTTCGAGAGAATCGCGAAAAGGAAACGCGATTAAGTAATCATCTTCCTCCGAAAAATCTATGAGTTGTAGTTCATCGTCTCCAACACGATTCATCTCGCACGTCATTCTTGCCCTAAATTACTCAATTCGACTGAATTTCTATATGCATACAAAAATCTAGACTGAGGTGAAGAAGAACAAGAACATAAGCTTGAAATCCAAGATGAAGAAGAGATGAATTCAAATTATTGGATTCAAAATGCAATCAATGAAAGAATCGTCAATTATTCAAAATAAAATCAGAATTAATGCGAATTTATTACTACAAATTTCTATTTATGGCCAAGGATTTGGAAATGTATGACCGAATTTTGGACAAACTTGAGAGCAATGGGCTGTGACGCAGGTGATGGGAAAAATCAGGTGTGATTAAGTGTGGGGTATTATAATTTAGCTGCATCCTGATTGCGCCATCTGTCAGATGATAGCTGTATTATTTTCGCGGACCAATGATATCCGAGGGCGAGAATAGGATAATTTGTCTCAGATACAGGTGATATATTTAGCAGACGCTCCTGTGTTAAAAAGGCGGCGCATTCTAAACAGGCGGGAAAATTTTAATTCTCTTAAGAAAAAAAAAATTATAAATGGTTTTAATCAAGGATGTCAAAATCGGGATCCTACCTAGATCGATTTTGGGTTTACAAGATCGAGATCGTAAGATCAGGATCGAGATCCTAAGATCCCACAAAATAGAATATAATTTTAATTTATAATATTTAATCATGAAAACTATTTCAAACATTTAGTTTTTCATTCAAAAGTTATAAAAACTTCAAAATATTAGTCATAAATCACAATAAAAAATGATAAATGGTAGATTGATAAAGGATAAAAGGCATAAAATGGTAAAAAAAAAAATTCATTTGCAAAAAAAAAAAAAAAAAAAAAAAGAAAATCAAAGGAAGGTAGGATCGGATCGGATCTCGATCCTACGATCCTACCTACAATCTTACGATCTTACCTGCGATCCTACCCCAAATACGATCCGGATCGTTTTTCATACCTAGGATCGTAGGATCGTACGATCCTACGATCAGGATCGCGATTTTATTTTATAAAATCAAACATTTAGTTTTTTTAATTTTTTTTAATTTTAAGGAAAGTTTTTATGATTTCAATTTCTACCGTGATTGTTCATTTGTTTTATAAATTTTTATTTATTTAGTCTTTTAATTTATATTTCTAATTTTTTTTACTATAACAAGTAAAAAAAACAAATACTACCCCTACCCATCCCACCCCACCCCCCGCACTTTCTCTTATAATGCTCGTCTTTAAGAAACCACAACCACGGGTCAATGACGCTGCCACCGGATCTTTGTCACCACCAAACCTCCACCGTCACTGCAACCAAGACTACTTCCATAAAGGGTCTCGCCCATCCCAACGCACCACTGTTTCTTCCGCTTACCCTCTACCACTCTCTTTTGGTTACCTTCTATCACCATTGTCCAACACCACTACAGTCCCCCATTACCACCAATACTAAGTCGTTTAACAAATGAACACAAACAAATTATTAAACCCAATTAACCCATATTTGAAGCTATACAACTCATTTTCCAATTAATAGTGAAATTTAACGATTCCAAACATAAATGAAGACGATCAAATCGAAACATAACCATTCAAAAATCTTCATCCAATTTTGAACCTTCAAATTAAAATCAGCCAAAATTCATCTTGACCTTGTATGTTTGTATGTGTGGGATGTATGTATCTGATATTCCAGCACGAAGGTTGAACCCTTTTTACAAGTCTACTTCTTCTTGTTCTGTTATTAACTAGGTGTGAGACCCATGTATTACATAGGTTTATTTAAAAAAAAAAAAAAAAATTTTTAACAATTTGAGAAGTTTGAATTTATAAGAAAAATGAGAATAAATTTAAATTATTAAAATTAATTAGACTTTAATACATTGAATCCATTACATATATAAATCATTTCTAATAAATACCTTGCATATATATTACTTATATATTAAATGTGGAATTTTAATTTAATTACCTTATATATTAAATGTGGAATTTTAATTTAATTACCTTATATATTAAATGTGGAATTTTAATTTAATAAAATGAAAATTACAATAAAATGACAAGTGGAAAATAGAAAATTTAAAAATTCTAGAAAATGCCATGTGTCTAAATGAAGGAGAAGAGGATATATGGCAAAAAAAAACCTTCATTTATTAAGGAGGATTTTGGGTTTTCAAAATAATATATATATATATATATAACTATATATATATATATAACTATATATATATATATATATATATATATATATATATATATATATATATATATATATATATATAACAAACAAACAAAATTGAAATTAAATGTAAATACAAGAATTAATTCACAAGAAACACATACTTGAATGTTATATACACAACAAAATACAAACTCGAAATTTTAGAGATGAGACTGAGGCCCGCAAGCAATGTCCTAAGACAAAAATTTCTCCAGTATGGATCTATCCAAATGATACAACAATCTAATCAAGATCGGATATTGATTCTGTCAAAATTTACCATGCTTCATTTATTTCCCCAAAAAAACAAGAGAGAAAGAGAGTGGTGTTTTTGTGTAGTATTATAAACCGTCAATTTATCAATTGATCATCTACATATAGGATGTCAAATAACAGTTAAAACCGTTGGCCATCATACATGTTCAAAATCAAAATTAACTGCTAATTAACACCAGTCGGTTAATTAATCAATTAACAGATTTTTATAATTAATAAATCAATTTCAAAATTTTGTTAATAAAGAATAAATCAATTAGTCAACAGGAGCAAGAGCCCTAAGGCTTAAGGCAAATCTTTTGACCATTAATTATCTTTAATGACAAGCCTACTCCAAGACTAAATTAATAGTCCAATACCATAATTCGAGCCTAAATGTCTTTTTATCTTACTTTACCAATCTAAGAATATGTAGAGACAAATACTTATAAAGCTATTAAAGTTTCTTAGTTTCTTATATGTGAGACAAGACTTTTTTTTCCTAAAGGAAAGTTCCAATAATACCCCATATTTTTTATTCAAACTCCATATCCCACATTTGAATAGAAAATAAGAAAACTTTAATATTCAAATCAAGGAAGTAACATATGACATGCATCTAAAAGGTGGTGTAAAACTTGAACATTTCATACTGATTACTACTTGCATCTGCTTTGTGGGTAATGATCTAGATTCTTGAACTAACCACTTTGTATAGTAGAATGAAAGACAAGACGCATCACACACATCAGATCTAAACATGTACTATTTATTACCATTGTGTCATTTCAGTTGTGAATTATCCTTTCTTCATGATACTTCTTGAAGAGCTTAACCATATCAACTCCCAAAGATGCGACATCACATCCATCTCACATAGGTGATGCTAATATGTAACAAACTGTACTTTTCCAGTAAAAAGGCTATCATCATTATTAAGAATAAAGATTCATCCCTATATCGTCAACGAAAAGTACAAAATAAATATCATAGGAGTGAGCATACATTTATATTAGTGCTTTTTTTGAGTCTTTCTTAACTAGTTGTCCTATTGAACCTAGGACATGGGATCTCCAATGTTGCTAGGTTAGGTTTAGATTGGGTGGTGACTCATTGTGTTGGCTTTAAGCCTATTCCCCTAGATGTGAAGAAAACTTGCTCATTACTAAGGCCTTTTGTCAACGTGTCAACTATATTTTCCTTTAACTTTATCTAATTAATGGAAATAATTACATTTTTCAGCAAGTCTCTTATTATAACATGTCTGCACCTAATATGTCTCGACTTGTCATTGTATATTTGATTTTTTTGTTGTATTAAGATGTAACAACCCGAAATTTCCGTACCACTTCTTGTAACTCTTTCGTAGTTCAATTCAAGCAACCAATCGTCGTTTCCAAATTCGATTCCGATTTTTCCTGTTTAATTAAGTCATTAACTTGTACGTATCTAAAATGACTTAATGGGTGTCTTAATACATTTAGAAATCATTTTAACGCCCCGTATTAGTGATCGAAATATTTCTAGAATTTACCGTATCGGGTTACAGCAACCCAATCGGGTACGACCAAAAGCCTCGCCTAACGCCGGTATCGGGTAGAATTCCACCGTGTCCAAAACTTAGACACTATATAATGTGTTCTAAGCCTTCATTTGAATCTTTTGGCCATTCTTCCATAAACACTTCCAATCTCTCTCCTCATCCATAATCAAAGGTCCAAAAACAAAGATTTAAGGCTCCAAATCAAAGAGGTAACATCCCTAACTTGTTATCTAACCTCTTTAGCCTTCAAATTGATGCTTAAATTGAGTTTTAGGACCTAGAACATGTGTTTATGGCCAAGGATCAAGCTTGGGCCGTAAACACTTAAAAATGGGGTTTTTAAGCCAATTAACCCTTCCAAATCATTGTTGGGACTTAGATACGACTTTAAGGTTTGCAAATCGGGACTTGAAACATTTAAAACATGAATTTTGAGGGACAAAAGAGAGTTTACGGCCAAGGCTTGTTCTTGGGCCGTAAACTCCTCAAACATGGGGATTGAACTCCTTAAAACATGTCAAAATGCCTTGTAACTTAACCAATAGCCTTGTGGTAAATCCTAGATCCATCTAAAAATAGTTTGCGGGTTTGTAACATATCAAAATGCCACACATAAGAGTTTACGGCCTAGGCACATACCCTTTGGCCGTAAACTCATAAATCTATGTCAAATGATGTCCCTAATTCACCCCAAAGGATTGGATAAATTTCTAGAATCACATGTGATTGCTCCTTGTGCCTCAAATCAATTTTTCTTGACCCTAGGAGAGTTTACGGCCGTAAACTCTAAGTTTACAGCCGTGAACTCCCTTTTAAGTGGTATTAATTCATTCAAACCATTCCAAGGCATTTTAGTAAGTCATTCCAACAAATCCCATGTCCAAACAAGCCATTTAACACTCAAAATCACACCAACATGAGTTTACGGCCGTAAACTCATGTATGTGTGTGTTTTGTGGCTGTAAACTCCCTTAAATGTTTACTCTTGGGGAGTAAACTCAAGTCCCAAGTCCCTAGTGCCAATACACGTCCGTAGATGTCACCCGGGTCACTCCAAACTCTCGTTTTGAGGTGTTTAACCTCGTTGGAGTGTAATGTTCCATATAATTAGTGATTGTAAATCTAATTAGATATATATGGACATTATTACATTTTACATAGGAACATTGCGAGTAATCAAGCCCCGAACCAACATCTAGTGTCCGAAACCGTTACAATTCCAAGTCTGGTGAGTTCATACCCCTACCCTTTTTCACTGTTTTCACTATTTTCAGGGG